CCCGGCCCCGCCAGGCCGCAGGGAGCGTGGGTCGCGCTGCCTTCCCCCAGCTCGGCGGACGGGGCACGGGGGAAACAGCTGAATCCCCAAGCTGGAATCCCGACCTCCAGCTCCCTCTCGGGTGAGAGGAAACATGAGTAATGGGATTACAATGGACCAAAACAGAGGCTGAGATACGTTGCATCGATCTGGGGTGCTCTGTCCTTTCAGGCCTGCCTGTGTATGCTCAGATAAACTAAATTGAAGCTGTTCAGTCCATGTAGTTTGTTCTTCCTTTCTGCTCACAGCTCTCTGTTGCATATATTTTTATTTTATAAGTTCTATGATTTTATTTTATAGGTTTTTATTGCGCTTAATCCAGTTTCACTGGAGGCTGATGCTGAAACCCGTCGTCCTTGTCTGCCAGCAATGGCTGCAGCGTCGATCAGTTCAGCTCCCCGCTGCCACAAAATAATCCACTAAAAAGCGTCATTGGTTTTCCGTTTAATGTGGGAGCAGGGCGTGTGGGGCTCCATAGAGTTAGAGCAGGTTAAATGCAATATAAAACACTGCCTTGATATAAAACAAACTTCTAGTGTGTACAACTTGAGAAGAAGCCTAATTTGAGCTAAAACAAAATAACGGCGCCTTGCATTAGTATAAGAGGACTAGTTCAAGTAACTGACAAAACTTTCCCAGGTGGACAAATCCTTGTGGAAATAGTTAACGATGTTAGTATTTAAATTATCGGCATTATCTGATTAAACCCTCGCTGGGAGAATAGGGAAGTTCTCATGTCACTTTGTTCCCACTCCCTACAGACCCATCTCTGCGTTGCATTTGGTCTCTCTTTTTTTTTTTTTTTTACCTTCCTTCACAACTGTACAGCTTGAGATTTACCCTATATATAGATTTCTGCAAACTCACAGCCAAATTCTGACTCTTAATTTAGCAAACAGTCCAAATTAACTTTCCTAGTAAGTCAGTACATAGTTCTTCTGTCCAGCTTTGATTGCCTGGCATGGAGGCAGCAAGTGAACTGGGAATGCTGCTGAAATCAATGGGGACTGACTGGTGAAACGGAATGGTAAAAACGGGAGGCTTCAGTGGGGCCAGGATTTCAACCATCACACCTTCGTAGCAATCTTTCTTTTGGGCAGCTCTTTTGCAACACTAAAGGGTTTACTGGCATGGCAGGGCTCTTAATTTAAAGTC